TGCTATTATTTGTAACGTCGCAATATTTTTGCCACTCTGAAATTCGTCTCCTGTTATGTATATGATGCTATTAACCTCATGTCATTTAATTATTTGGACATCTTGATGTTAATGGTATTGTCAGGTCATGGCTTTTTTGGAATTGTGATATATTGCTAAGATTTATTATGGAAATTTCTTGATTTAAACGTGTTTGTTCTGTTGGTATCTCGTTAGGATTTCAATTGACCTGTTTATTATATTTAATTATACCAGTCTTTTATTTTTAGTTTAAGAATCATGATTATCAGTATGTTTATCGATGCTGTGTTTATAAAAATGGCCCGTAATCCTGGTCATTCTAGGATAATTTCAGAGAGATCAAAGAGGAAGCTGAGTCGATCCAAAGTGGAACGCATACCAGTGACGGTGGTGCTCGTGTGCGATTGGCAGTTGAATGCCCGTCCCGACGACGATGGAGACAAGGCGAGAGGAGAGTTGTGAGGAGGCAGAGGCAGTGAGAGAGTGAGAAAGGAGAGAGAAAAGAAAGAAGTAAGTTTTCCCTCCGAAGTTTCCCTCCGAAGTTTCCCTAGATTGAAGCACAATTTTTAAATTTTGAATTATAATTCACAACCGACTTAATATTTAGTCGGTTAAAGTAAAAATTAACAACTCAAAAAAATTAAAATAAAAGTAACAAATATATTTAACATTATATTTAAATAAAAATATAAGTAATAAAGAATTTAATAACAAAAATGGTAAAATTAAATTATCTTAATATTTGTTCCTAATATTTTTTGTACTGAAAAATATAAAATTATTTTAAATTTATATATTCTTAACTATTTTTTTTATATTCTTTATTTTTTATATTATATTATTAGATATATATATAATATATAGTATATATTTTATATATAATAGAAAGAAAGAAGGTAAGAAAATTTAAAAAAAAAGAAGGAAAAAATTTTATAAAAAATTATTGAGCCAGCTCAACCCGTGTTTTTTTTTTTTTTTGAGACTCCTGCATGGACTAACTAGGCACTAATCAATTTTTAGAATTTCTAGAACATGCCGATATGTTATTATTTTCTCATAGATAAACGCACAGATGAAGAATTCATGTGTCAAGTGGATTTAATTATTATTATTCAGTTGTAACTAGCAGTCCAAAAATCATTTATCTCAAGCATATCTTAGCAGTCAAAATCAATTAACGCATACTAAAAATTATATACGCACAGTTCCCAGTTTAGGCTTCAGTTTCAATTAGCATTTAAATCGCCATCACCTATTATAGATCCTCAAATTTTTAAATAAAATATACTGATTAAGGTGAGTACATTTTGTATTTAAAAAAATCACAAATATTTTCTTTTTTAAAATATATATCTAATTAAGTGAGTCTAAAAATAAACAAATTTGCTTAAAATATTTTAAAAAGTTGAAAAATAATATTTAAAAAATTAAGAAATTTTTAAATCTGAAATATATCAATAAGTCTTACCAAATCGAGATTATTTACTTCATAGTTCATGAGTGAACTTTTTTTTACACACTTAGCCCCCGTTTTTGATAAGTGATTTTGAAAAATTGAAAAATTTTTTTAAATGATAAATTATTACATTTTTAAAATATTATTACATTTAATAATATTATATTTTCATATTACAATCCCTACAGAATACAGTTTTACCCTAAAGGAACACTTTACCATTATTTTAAACAATCGGCTACCCAAACCGCTATTATAGTAGCAAAAAAGTAGTCCTTTGTCGCGACTAAAACGTATTTAGTCGGTAATCCCCTGTTTTGGCGACAAAAATTTTGGTCGCCAAGGTATTTTATAATTTTTTTATTTTCAATTCGGCTTACAAACTATTTAGCTAGCCAAAGTTAGGTCTTGTGGCGACTAAAAATAATTTTTAGTCGGTGAATCCCCTATTTATGGCCGACAAAATTTTGTTAGGTCGGCCAAAAGTATTTTATAATTTTTTTTAATTTTCATTCGGCTACAACCTATTTAGTAGCCAAAAAGTAGTCTTTGGCGACTAAACGTAATTTTGTCGGTGAAATCCCTGTTTTGGCGACACATTTGTGTGGTCGCCAAAGGTATTTTATAATTTTTTTTATTTTCATTCGGCTCAAACTTAGCTTAGTAGCCAAAAAGTTAGTCTTTGGCGACTAAAAAATTTTTTTATCGGCCAATTGGATACTGTTTAGCTACTAAAAATTTTTTAGTCGCAATTGTATTTTTTTTAGCTACTAAATTTTTTTTAGTTGCCAATAATCAACATTCCCCTACTAAAAAAATTAGTAGCTAAAGGTTGACTTTTGCGACTAAAATTTAATTTTGTGCAATTCCCACACTTTTGGCGACTAAATTTGTTTTGGTAGCCAAAAATAGTCGGCAAAAATGTGTTTTCTTGTAGTGTTTTCTTCTAATTTTCTAACTGGAAATCCAATTGAGGTCCTGTTTGTTCTTACAAGTCTACTTAGGCTTGAACAAGCTGTTCGTGCCAAGTTTCGGTGGTTTCGGTAGTCATTTCGAAATTTCGGCCCCCGAACGGGCCTTTTAAGTCTTGTGTTTTACATTTTTCCTTCTAATTTTTTAACCGGAAATCCAGTCGAGGTCCCGTTTGTTCCTACAAGTCTATTTAGGCTTGAAAAATCCGTCCATGCCAAGTTTTGGTGGTTTTGGTGGTCATTTCGCAATTTCAGCCCCCGAACGGGCCTTTTAAGTCTTGTGTTTTACAATTTTCCTTCTAATTTTCTAACCGGAGATCCAATCACAACTAGGGAGACTCATAGTATGATCCAACCACTTCTTCTGTGTTTCAATTTTTAAAACCATGACATTGATTTTTCAGAGCCATGGATATAAATCAATCAATTATGATGAGAAATGGTAAAGATAATAGTAAATACTACTATTATATTGACATATTGGCAATTTTAGAAGCTTGGTCCTCTGTCAACTTGGCTACAAAGCCTCTGAAACCATGTCTGTAACTGTAGACATGAGATGCCCTGGCTTGTTTAACACTGTGTCACCAATTGAATGATTCAATTAGCACAACCAAACAATCCTCAATAAGAACAAGAAGAGGAACACAACAATAATATCAAACCACAAACAAACAAAAAAAAGGAGTGTGAAAACATGGTGGTGTACAGTTGAAAAAAAAAGAAAATAAAGAGAAAAAAGGAACATTGGGTGGACCTTCCACCATGAAAATCAGTGAGGAATTGGTGGTTCTGCATCAAAATCTCATTTGGGTCATGACCATCTCTGCTTCCCATATAGACCACATAGACCTGCACACAAGACAAAGCTTAACCCAGTAACATAAATCCGAAAACAAAAAAACAAAAACGAAGAAGTTGAGTGAAAATATCATATCTATATCCACACCTTAGCAGAATAACAGAGGCGAACTTGGGCAAGGAAAGCACAAAGGAAAAGAAAAGGAATACCAATATTAGTAATAGTGGTGTTTCTGGATGAAGCCATTCCAAGTACTGAAATGATTCTTCTTCAGTTGGAGTGGAACTTGCCAAAGCTGAATTATATCAGTTGGTTTCAATGGTTGACAATGGATGCCTGAGTTCTTCGTTATCGGTACAAAAAGATATTAGATGCTTGAGCTCAAAATATTCGGAAAAGAATCCAATGGGAGGCACAAGATGTTCACTGGAAAGCTCCTTCACATCATCTGAGAGCTCGGGGCAAAAGGAAGAGAAGAAATCCAAGCATGAGAGTGGAGGAGATGCCAATTCGGTTGTACTGTCACTAAGGGATATGGATCCAAGGCCGAAGGAAAAGGGTGTACCAAGCAATCAAATAAGCGGAAGGAAGAAAAGTGAGAGCACCATTTCTGATGGTGATTGGGCAGAACAACCATCTGGTAAACACACACACAAAACTGGTGACCAATTGACAAGGTTTGGATTAATGGAGACCTTTGATCTGACCGACTTTGATTCAGGTCCAAAAGCAATAGACTTGAACTGCGAAGGTAATAATTCAAATGGCATTCAATGCTTTGAGGCATTGATATCAGATGAGATTAAGTAATATATACAAATATAATGCATTGCTTATATTTGCTTATAAAAAATTATGTATATTGTTGTGTATGGACCCCAAGTCATTTTCCAAAAGTATATCCATATTGAAAGGTAACAATACACTTGTGTACTCTCCCCCTGAGACACACAAACTCACCCCTGTATTCCATTTCGGAATAGCCAAGTCTCTGAGAAATTATTCTTGAATCTGATAAAGTTCATTGATTAAACAATATTGCAAGAAAAATTCAGTTAAATACCCAACAAGAAACAAAGAATCATTAGCTAAAACATGTGCCTGGTGGGCATAATTACATAGCTGACTAAGAGAATAATTGTATAATCCACACAGCTTAACAAATAATATGTTCCTCTGTAAAAGCCATTGCAACAAGAACAACAGATACATGAACCATATGTGGTTATTCTTTGATATAGCATTTATAGTTGTAGGCTTTGAATATTGTCAGAAAATACGTACTTGCATGACTTCTGATATAAAGTCTCAAGGAGGGAAGCTGTCAGCAGCAAAGCACCCAAGCACTGTTCAACGGATGGATACTAGGTGCTTCTAGTAGGAAAAATAAATTCTCTTTTTGAATCAGTGATTGATTTTTGACCAATGAAATTCATCAGTTGCACGATGATTCGTGTGCAAGGATTGTACTATGAAAGAAACAGAGGAATAATGCTTAGAGGATCCACCCTAGTGTTGGCTCTATGCTAGCTAATGAAGTTTATGGTGAGGGAAGTGGTGCTATCAAAGTCTAGGTAGTTTTTACACCATAATCGACCTTGAAGTCTAGACACCAAAAGATGGCCTCCCCAAGACAGGACTCTGTTATCTTTCTCATGGTTTCAGTTAGGAACATTTGAAGCGTGTAGTGTTAGAATTTCACGTGTTGCGAATCCAATTGCTTTTTATTTGGAAAACCGAATTTGTTGTTTGGTTCGATAAGGTGCATATCACTTAGATTTCATGATGAAAAAAGAGTTAACAATATAAAAATAGCCTAGTCTACTCTCATACAAGACGTTGCTCAACCCTATTTGTAAAATCTCTGTATAGATAATACTATGATATCAATTATGCATATAGGTTTCATTCTTCAACCCTTGCATAAAATTAGATCTACCAAATCAGCAGTCCTAGACTGAGTGAAAAAATGTGAAAGTTCACTGAAAGAATTTGGAAGAAAAGACATCTCAGCTATATTTTGTGGCCATAAATCCAGAAAGTCTTCATAAATATGAGAATG